TGAATTTCAAAATAATATGGTATTTGAGATTTTGTGAACTTTTCCCACTGTATTTGAAGAAAAAGGAATAGAAACTCTTGGAGGTCTACTGAAAAATCATTAGAAGTCAGGGAAGAAACCATAAACAAAAAGATAAAGAGAGAAAAATATTTCTCAAGAAGCTTACAGTTTATACACACACACCATATGTATTTTATATTTTAATGGTCATAAAATAAACAATATTATCATAGGAAGAGGGAAATAAAAACAAGAAAAAAATTACTTACATTCTCAACTATTCAGCTGTTTTACTTTTTCCATGACTCCTTGCAGTAGAGCAGACAGTTTTACTAACCTAGCTTTTAATTCTAATTACTCTAACCCTAATTTTGCTCTTTCTAGCACCTTCTTTTCTAGAAGCCTATAGCCCTCTTCTTTAGGAAGCAGAACTTGAGTCACCCCACCAGTGTGTATGGCACCAGTGACACCCTCCAGGACTTCTGAACTTCATTAGCAAAATATTTTTTTGTCTCACTGATACTCCACTCTGGATATGATTCCTTTGCTACTTCATGAGTGTCTCTATAAATAAAACTAAGAATGTATCTTAAGAGCAGGGAAATTTCTTCCAAATTTTTTTCTGTTCCCAAATTGTGTTCATTATAGAACATATTAAAGTGGAATGCGTACACGGAGAATGTTGTGATCAAAAGCAGATAGTTCAATTCAAGTTGCTCATTTTCTACTGAATTATGAAGTTTAGTCACATAATATTCTCTGAATTCTGGGAAGGTGTAAACTTTCCACTTCCCATATACAGTTCTAGTTATATGCACACGATAGAATTCACAAATCCTTGCCTAGAAGTAAAGAATACTACTTGAACATTCATTGAACACTCACTGTGTGTGAAGCATTTTTTGCCTAAAAATACTTCCAGGGTGTTTTTGAAAATACCCTGGAAATGCCTGCTTTTTATTTCTGTAAGAATTTAGTCATCTTTTTCTCTTGTCTGCATGCCAATATTAATGTTAATTATTCTAGGATATAAGTTCCAAGAAAACATAACTATGTCTCTTTGGCTTATGTCATGTGCCTCACACAAAGCTGAGTGAATATGCTTGCCTAATATCATCACATTGCTTGATGATGAGATGCAGAACCAATCTTAGCTGAGGAACTCAACAGTCTTCTGAAGTTATTTAATATGGTACCATTAGGTGCCACCTACTAAAAGGAAGGAACAGAAAAACAAAAGCGCATTGTTAAGATGTGTAAACTGTTCTTCAGTGGAGGAGGTCTGTGTATATAATTGAGTTTAGCTGTTTTTGTTTATAGAGCTCCTGTAATTTCCCTATGCCAGATACTGACTCAAAAGAAAAATATCAAAGTATTTAGGCAACAGCTGTTCTTACTCCTTCAGGGTGGTAATTCTGAGCCCAGGGCTCTGCCCATTTTGTGAAAGGAAGCTCTTTGACTATAAAACCCTGCTTTCTTCCACCGTGATACTAATAGTGACTGTCCTTGTTAAAAGTGTTAATCATCAATTCCATTTAACGGTTATCCTGAGGGAGGAAATAACCTGTTAGGACCTTATGTGTGCTTTATAAACTCTTCTCTGAAGTATTCCTACTACATGATTTTGTATTGCTGAGCACATTTCTAAACCTCGCAGTATCGTTCCTTCTTTGTGGAGAAGAGCAATACTTGAGGCAGTTGTATTTTCAGTGGGTTTCAGTGATGCTGGTCACTTAGTGAATTCTAAAATATTTAATGAACCATAAGTGATATGGCTGCATTTTACAGAAGTTTCTAAATACCCCACTCATTCTTCTGATTTTTCTATCATTTGGAAAAAGTGGGTTAAAATGAAGTAAAAACAATATCCAAAAATGTAATTTGTAAGACAATAATGGTGAGGACTCATCTTGTCTGATTTAAAAACATATATATAAAATTGACAGTTATTCTCACTGTGTAGTATTTTGTTAAAGAAAAAATGATGATTGATATGGAATAACTAGAGATTCGAGAACTTAAGCTATTGGAATCCTAAGAGCAGAAATGACAGAATGATAGGGAAATGTAGCATTTGTCAGGTATTTATTTTGACATAGAGAAGAATCCATACTCTGTATACAAATGTGAAACATATAGCACTGGAAAGAGAAACAATATAAAAAAATAACCCACACCTCTGTACTGAAATTACTTAAAATGGATACAAATAAATGAACACATTAAAACATTCTTACTGATAAGGGTAATAAAATCAGTTTTTTTTCCCCTGTGGAGAAACAGGAATGTAGTTGATGGCACTGTAAACGTTTCAGATGTTGTGGAGGGGAATCTGTCAGTATGTTGGAATCCTAATGTTGTCGGTGATGACAGTGATGATAATGGCATGTGCCAGACACCGTCCTAAGTGGGGCAACATCAGAGCCAAGCTCACTGTCTTGGCCACATGTATGTGCGTGTGATCAGACATGGCATTGAGCATGTCCCAGAAATCCCCTCCGTCTCCAGGCCACCTTTTCAGATTCATTGTTTGACATTTCCTCCATTTTCCTACAGGCCATATTCATTTTTTAAAAATTAAGATTGTTTTCTCCCCCCATATTCTTTTTTTACTCTATTTTTGTAAATGTTTTCCCCCATGCCCTGAATATCTTCTGTTCTCCTGGCAGGTGGATTCTTACTCATTTTTGAAATTTTGTTCAAATCTCACCCTGCCAGTGAAACTTGGTTCCTGTGGCCTTTGACATACTGAGGCCGGCGGCTCTGCCTGCTTGTCTGGAGACCGCCATCTCCTTGAGGGCAGGGCCTGTGTGTATCCCAGCCATCTTTATACACAGAGTGGGACTTAGCACCTGTGTATGGAATGAGTGAATAAAAAAACAAAGGAAGATCCTGATATTAATATTGTTAGCTCTTTCATTAAATTCTGTTAAAACTGAAGCTTGTCATATTGACTCATGATAAATGTAACAATGATCAAATTGTGTAACTTCCAACAATTCTCTAAAGTGGGTAAGTAGTTACTACCAGGCTATGTTATTTTGCAATGGTTTTTTTTGGGGGGATAAGAGGGGAGGTTTTACTTGTTTCATTGCTTATTTGCTGTAAAATGAGGCTTTTTACTGGGTCACTGTCAGGTTCTTCTTGTGTTTATAATGCTGCTCAAGGAGGTACACTTATTAGCTCTTTTAGGCCATGACGCCATTAATGAACTCTTCCCTATTACTTAATATTCCTAAGAGAAAATATGCCTAAGGACCTATCTTATTCTCAGGAAGTAAGTTTTTTTTTTAGCTTTTGAGACAGAGAGATGAAAAAATTTCCCCTTGTACAAATTACTCATCAATCTAAGAATCTTCATGCAAAAATTAATGCTTCAAGACACAGAATGAATTTAGGTTAAAGATTGTTATGATATTAGGTAGACAGAGGTTCTGTTTCAGTTCTGCTGTAGATGACAGACCACACTTTACAAGACAGAAACTTCTTTCTCTTTCATGAAGTTGTCTGGATGCAGGGAGGCCAAGCATGATTACCGTGTCCTGCACAGCTCTCTGGGATTTAGCATGGCACCCCATGGTATTAGGGGTTCAGGCGCTTTCTTTCTCATTGCTTGGAACTTAAACATTTAATATTTGTTGGTTCTCTTTTAATTTTATTGATTATTACAGAGTGACTGATTCGCCCTTAGGCTTGACAAGAAGTGGAAGTCATGGTTTATTTATAGTATTTTGTGGATTTGGCATGGCAAAATAGTCTTGACAGTACATATTTGGTTAATTAAAAGCTCATATATTTTGGGGAGAGGTTGTTACTGTACAGCTACGTGCAAGACCCTTGTGACATGAGTGGTGGAGGTCACTGTCCAAGGCTGGGTGGGAAGCAGTCACACATCACAGTGGAGGAAGGAGCAAATAAAGTGCTCCTGAAGGATGAGGAGTTCATTCCCAGTCTGCAGGGCTTCAAGGAAAGGAATGCTGTTGGCTGCCCTTGACGGGTGAGCAGGCTTTCAATAATGGGAAATGGGGGAGGAGGGGAAAGAAAAGCATGGAGTAGCCTTGAGGGGAAAGGTGAGAGTGGAAAGCACCAGCGTGGGAGGATGCTGGTGTCTGACTTCCATGCCTACAGCGCCTCCCAGATGATCTGGGACACCGACTGTGTCTTAGGAGTGAAGTCTGGAGGAAGGGTGTTTGTGAGCAAGGGAAGGTAAGGAGGGTGTGCAGGTTGCATTTTATCTTGCCCTTTCTTTCCTCCCTTTTATTTCTGATAGGATGATAACAAAGAGATATACCTTGGATAATACTTTAACAAAATTTCATTGCTTTGTTGATTTACATTGTTCAAGATGCTTCTGTGAGCTATATACTAATCTTTTATACCTAGCCCCTATGGTTCATGTTTAGATGAGATTACCTTTATTTTTCAAGTTAAGACAGTATTTGTAAATGTGTGACTTTCAAGGGGAACATTAACTCTCTGTATTCACAAAGGGCTGGGTTCTAAATGCTTTCTGAGTTAAAAAGTTGTGCTGTTGCATTTTACTGTCACATTCTGCTGATACATCATTTAGAGAAAGTTCCAATTCTTGAGGAAGAGCAGAGTGCTGACATGATTTTTCACTTAGGTGTGCAGAAAGTATTGGTTAGCTTTGTGCACAAAATAGGCTGAAATCAAGCTTTAATTAGTTAGACTTTTGCATAATTCATTGTGGTCACTTTGAAAGTCCAGCTGAATATGCTCTTGATTTTTATCATGATGGTTTCATTTTCAAGGAATGGTTGTCTTTTATTAGTTCCTTGCGGTACAGATATTTAGGTCTTCAAGTAGAGCCATAACAATGCACCTACTCTCAAAGAAATGAATTGTTACATAAGGATCCAGAAAGAATTGAATCCGTCTATAAAAAAGTTCTTATTCAATATCACTTTTGATGTCAATATAAACAGACTTAAGGACAAGAAAGTAAGCTATGGTTTTTTTCTTTCTTTTTGAATCCATAGGCTGTCCATCTGGCTCAGGCAAGCTTCCAGATTGAAGCCTTTGGCTCCAAATTCATTCTTGACCTCATACTGAACAAGTAAGTACTTAGTCATAATCCTGTTATAAAACAAGCACAGTAAAGCTTAGCTTTATGATAATGGATTAGTCAAAATAATGTTTGTTGTTGAAGCAACTGATGTTTTCTAGCTGATTATATGTCATATTGCACTTAAAAAAGTCTGAAGTTAATTTTTTTCTTTCACTGAAAGAAAAGGCAGTTAACATATACCTTGTTAGATATCTTAAATACAGTACTTAGATATTATCTTTTTAAATGGAATAAATATTTGAAGTAATGCTAGTTAATTAAATGTTTAAAATCATTACTATATATAGGAAGCTTGATAAATTAGTGACTCAAATGTAATTAGACGTCAGCCTAGAAATTTATTCCATCTTACCTTCCATTGTGCAATTCCATGACTTCTGTATAAAGAACAAAGAAAATGATGACCTCCAAGTATCTATTTCTGAGAAAGTTCTTTGCTTCATAATTTGTTCTAATACGGTTTCTTAAAAGTACTGGTCCTGATGAAAGTTTACTCGATTTTTCTCTGGGCATGTGTTTACATTGATGTTTGAATGCTGTTTCCTGAGTTGGAACCAGTTGTACAGATGTCTTTGTACAAAGCGTAAACAAGAGCTGTTGACTTACGTGGGACTTTTCAGCCTCTAATTGAGCTAGCAGTGGGCCTCTGTTTGGTGAAAGATTTCCTGTATGGTTTTCTTTGGTTTAAGAAGCTCCAGTCAGTATTTTAAACTCTTATCAGTATTTTTACCAGGACTGCATCTTGGCCAGAAAAATACCACATAATGCTATTAGACACGATAATGTAGGTGCTCACAGTCAATATCCGACAATATTGCAAAGGACTATAAAGAACAACTATTAAATTTCTTGTATTCCTAATTCTGTGAGCTCTGCAGAAAGAAAAAATGCAGAGTCAGCTTAGGTTCTCCTTACTCAAGTGTTATTGCAGCTTTTAGTCAGAATGAATCAGCAGAACTCAGAATTTCTTGTGTTAAACATATTGCAGGTTTTCTTTTGAGTCTGCTGAGCACTGGTTGAGTTTCTTTCCACCGTGCTGTGTCAGCACTGTGCCTGCCTAAGAGATTTGTCTTGCCAAATCTTAGACTGTGTTGAGTAGCAAGGTATGGCTAATTTTAGTTTATTTAGGTGCTCTGTTCCTTTCACTCTTACTTCCAGACTATAGCATGGTGATTAAATAACCAACGTTGCTAAGTGTTTTGAACATTAAAACATCCTGGCCACAGCAGAGCTTCCTAATCAAATGATTTAGAAAGGGTCATGTGGGATATCCAGGGTATTTAGAAATCTGGAAACCCATTGGGAAACTACCACTAATATTTAACACACAGAGGAATCAAGTTGAGTACTTTGTAGGAGCAGCCCTTTTCTTGGGGAACTTATAGTCTAGTTAGGAGAGGTTGATAGATAAGTGTGTAATTTTGAAGACTATGAAATTGGTTGTGCTTAGAGATAAACATGGAGCGCTATGGTAGCACCAGAGGTGGAAGCTCTTCAGGCTGGAGGAGGGGAAAATGGATCTTGGAAAAGGTGTGCTTGAGCTAGCTTGGAGGACAACTGCTAGCGAGGAAGGGAAGTGTCAGGGATGGATGGGAGGGAGAGAAAATGGAGAATTGTGTTCTAGACAGAGGAGGCAGTGTGTGCTGAGGAGGTAGGGCCATGTAGCATGTGGAGGGAGCATGAGTCTTCTGTTGAGCTTCATGGCAAATTACAAGGCAAGGCAGAGGGAGATGAGTCAGGATAGGTGGCCCCAGGGACAACTTAACTTGTGGAACATTTTGTATGTTATGCTCAGCTTTTAGTCAGAATCAGTCAGCTTGACCATGATCCTAGATTGGGAAAAATGAAGTAAAGGGAATAAATGGAAGTTCTGTTATCAGGAAGTGCTAAGAGGCACAGAGAGGGAATGCTTTCAAGAAATCTTAAGTTGATAAAAATCATTAAGATTGTTTTAATGTGAACAGTAAAGCAAAAAGAAGAGATAAAGTTAACAGGGGCCTTGACTGGAGAGCAAGGTGGAAGGTTGTCTGCAGCTTTATCGAGCAGCACAGGGAACAGACAGGTTAAATGGTGAAGAGAGGAGAATGAGGAATCAGGATGGACAAAATTGATCTGAGGGGCTTTGCAAAGTACGTGAGGTCATATCTAGGAGGCAGGTGGATATAACAGGCTGAAGCTCAGGGAAGAGGCGGGGCCGAGGATAGTAGCGAGTCATTTCCATATGAATGTTAATGACAAACATGGTTGTGAATGAACTTGCCCAGGGAAGGTGGGCACAATAAGGAGAATGGATAGACTTGGAAGATGGTGAGGAGTTGAGGAGAGGAAGAGGAACCCATGAAGGAACAGAGAATGAGGGATCAGAGAATCAGGGGAATGGTTAAATACAGAGTTTCAAAATAGGCACATGTGGTATATAGCCTCACAGGCAGTAGAATGATCTAATAAGAGGAACAAAGATTGACCATTGTATTTACTAATCAAGTAATCACTGGTGGTCTGGAGGGAGCAATTTCAGTGAGGAACTGGGGGCAGAAACCAGCTTTCAGTGGTCTGGGAGTGATGGAAAGGGCATGATGTGGAGACAGCAGATACCCATTGGGGAGATTTGGGGGAGAAGATGAAGCTAGAGTAGTAACTGTAAGAAGACTTTGGGGTCAAGGGAGGGGTTTTTAGGGATAACAGAGCAAGTTGATGGGCTAAGAGATGAGCTGAAAAGAGTGAGAAGTGAAGATACAGAAGGGAGAGGAGACAATTTAAGAGGCAAAATCTGGGTGAAGGCAGAGGGAGTGAGATCAAGAACACAAGTGCAAAGTTTAGTTTTCAACCAGGAGAGACAGCTCATTCTCAACCTGTGTGAAGGTGTTAGGGTGTGAGCGGGTAGGGATTGGTTTGCAGGTGAAGGGATGGAGTTTAGGAAATTCAGATTTCCTTCTTGGAGACAGCATTTTCTATATAAGGGTTGGGATGGAGAGTGAGGATGGGCTGGGGCTTGAGGAAAAGAGGAGAGTTTAGGCTAAGTGTTTAGAGGAATGGGTGAGGAAGTTCACCAATGTCCTTTTAAAGACTGTATGAGAAACTTTCATTAGACATCTTGTGTTATGTGTTAGTTTTTGTGCCATTCTTCCTGATGGTGTTTTTGTTTTAATCCTTGAATGCTCCATTACCACAGTGTGTGAAGGAAGGGGGCAAATTGTAGTCTGGATCAGAGTTCAGTGTTTGTGGTGGAAGCACAGGAAGAACGATGAAGGCAGTGCTCTTTGAATAATGGTGAATGACTTAGCTAGTGCAGTGTCAGGATCCAGTCTGGGTAAGAAAGGAGACAGGGTCAAGGAGGGGTCATATGGCCTGGGAGAATATGGGGGTCTCTGTAGGGAAAAGTAAGTGCAGTGGGAGGGAGGTGTTCAGGCTGTCATCCTGTGGTGTCTGCCCTGAAGCCCCGAGTGCAGCATGAGTGCACAATAGTTGTGTGACCTGGAGACAAGGGAACTGTGTAAGAGTATGACAAGTGTTGGCCAGGGTGGATCTCTAGTTTAAATGACCTTCAGTATCTGGGGTTAACTAAAAAGTCTGATCCATATTTGAATAAACTTAGAGAGTCAAGAGAAATTTTTAATTAGCCACAGAGGAACCGGAAGAGCTTAGAAAAGAGGGATCTCATTTCCACCCTACAGGCGTCATCGCTGCACTCTTTACATCAACTTTAAATAATGAGGGGAGGGAAAGGCAGAAGGTATATATATGGTAAGTATGTGGGCTGAGTGAGGAATGATAACATAAAGATGTTAAACTAACCAAAGCGGTAGCCTGTAGACTCTAACCAGTTAACAACCTCGCAGCCTGCACTACCGGCTTGTGAACACTACTCTGATGTGAGGTCCTGGAGGAGAGCCCTTTGAGTCTGTGCTTTGTAGGTCGGGCAGGTGAGGCCTTGGCTTGCTGAGGGCTCTCACGACAGAGGGGTGTGTTTTGTCCGGCAGATTTGAGTGAGCATCTGCTGTATGCCTGTGACGGCTGTAGATGCTGCCATTGCTACAAGTAAGAGGGACAAGGCCCCTGCCTCCCGCATGAGCGTCATTCACTGAGTAAGAATAGGTGCATTGAAGAACATGTAACTGGGCCCTGTGATGGAGAGGGCCTGGGGGTGGGCTGGACAGTGGGATTTCGATGTCACAGAAGTCGGAGGTCAGCCTGAGGAAGGCCATTGAACTGAGACCCAATTGCCAAAGAGGAGCACCCACAGGAAGCTGGGAGGCTGAGGCTCCACACAGCCTGGGCAGTAAGACAGCAGGTGCCAAGGAGAATGTGGGTGTTCGAGGACAGAGGCTGGTGTGGCTGGAGTGCAGTGGGGAGCAGGGTGGTGGGATACTGAGGAGATGAGATCAGGAAGGACGGCACATAGCCCCACCTTGAAGGGCCACAGTTCATGCTGAGGCGTTTGGTGGGCAGCCACTGGAGGGCAGTAAGTGTGGACGTGGCACCATCGAATCTGCCATTAGTTTATCCCAGGAGTCCTGGCTGTGACTTCAGAGGACCTTTAGTCTTATTCTTTTCAGGACTTGTTTTGTTTTTCCTCTAGGATAACCATTGTTCCAAGTTACAGAAGGTTTTAAAAGGAGTACTAGATTCACAATTCTTAACCTTGTAAGATCAATCACTGTGTTTCTATCCTTGGAAGTCCTTGGTGAGGGGAGGTCTGATGACTGTAAAAGAGGTAACTAAGGTTAAATCAGGTCGGTGGAGCTCTGACCTGGTAGGATGAGTGTTTTTATGAGAAGAGATACCAGAGAGCCTTCGCTCTTTCTCTGCCTCTCTGTCTCTGTCTCTCTGTGCCATGTGAGGATACAGCAAGAGGGCAACCATGTGCAGGTCAGGAAGAGAGCCCTCACCAGGAACTGGATCAGCCAGCACCTTGTGCTTGGATTTCTAGCTTCCAGAAGTGTGAGAAATACATTTCTGTTGTTTAAACTACCCAGTCTGTGGAATCT